CAGAGGGCACTTGACAGCCAAGTTTCAAGGAATTCTAGTAATGAAGGAAACCGTAACTAGTAATATTTCCAGAAGGATCCTTTCCTTTTTGCTTCCAAGGTGTTTGTGAGAAAATGGGAGTCCCGGTTTGGAAGGGATGTGTGGCTTTACAGGACTGAGTTTTCATTGCCGGAGAAAGTGGGCTTCTCTGGTGGCCTCATCTCAGCACTTCTGAACTTGCACGGAAGCCGCTCTTTGCCTTGTTCCTTGAGAGGACTGTTGCTGGCCCAAGTGGCAAGCTACCGGCCCAAGTGCCAGGAGAGACTATTGCTGCTGTCACAAGGGCCTTTGTTCTTTTCTTTTTTGCCTTCTGGGATGGGCTCAGGCCTCAGAGGCCCTTCCATCACATCACCTTGATGCAAAGATTTGTTTGTTTCCTCAGGGCATGCAGCACATTGAGCTCTGCGTCCGATTAAATGTGCAGGAAATTCATTCTTTGTGCTCTTCAATGCAACCCAAATGCTGCTGTTTTCAGATGGAACATAACCTCTTAACTACATACATTTGAACTCGCTTAATAACTCCAGCAGTTGTCTTTGGCAGAGATCTGTGTCTCTGGTGTGTCCTTTGAGATGTGATCCTACCTGAGGAGACAATGTTTTTCCTTCTTTGCGTTCCCCTCATTATGGTCGCAAAATTATGACTACTGTTTCTATAAACCAAGGGCCAAGAATAAATCTCTCCAATACATTTGTACAGGGGAATGTTCTCGCAAGTTTTTCTGCCGAAACAATAATAGCATTAATTTATCATTTATATGCTGGCCATCTGACTGGGTTGCCCCAGCCACTCTGGGTGGCTTCCAACAAAAAACAGTAAAAGCACAATACAGTGGTACCTTGGTTCTCAAACTTAATCTATCCCGGAAGTCCGTTCCAAAACCAATCTAACAAGACCACTGATTCATAAAATGAAAACAATAAATAATGTACTACAGTCACACAATCAGTAGCTGAACTGGGTTCCACACAAAACAAAAACCGGGTTCCAGGCAAAAACAAAAATGCAAAATAAATAGCAAAAAATACTAGGGTTAGGGTCAGGGTTACTGTAACACACAAAATAGAAGTGTGGCACTCAGATCGGGGGGGAAACGGAGCACTTTCGGCTTCTGAAAAAAGTTTGCAAACGGGAACACTTCTGGGTTTGCAGTGTTTGGGTTCCAAGTTGTTTGAGTACCAAGGCATTTGAGAACCAAGGTAGCACTGTACAACATTACGCACTAAAAACTTCCTTGAACGGGGCTGCCTCCAGATGTCTTCTACAAATCACATAGCTGTTTATCTGTTTCACCTCTGCAGAGAGGGTTTCCACAGGGCAGGTGCAACTAACGAAAAAGCCCTTTGCCTGGTTCCCTGTAACCTCATCTCTTGCAGGGAGGGAACCACCAGAAGGCCCTTGGAGCTGGATCTCAGTATCCAGGCTGGACGATTAGGGTGGAGATGCTCTTTTAGGTATACATGGCCAAAGCCATTTAGGGCTTTAAAGGTGCTCGGAAACACACTGGGAGCCAATGTAGTTTTTTTAGGACTGGTGTTATATAGTTCCTGCAGGTGCTCCCAGTCTAGCTGCCACATTCTGCATTAGTTGTAGTCGCCTTCAAAGGTAGCCCCGTGTAGAGTGCATTGAATTCTCGAAAAAGCAAGACACTTCCGTTAGCTTTGTGGTTGCTCTAGAAAAAGGGCAAGCAACAAGAACTGTAGAGTTGGAAGGGACCCCGAGGGTCATCTAGACCAACCCCCTGCAGTGCAGGAATCTCAACTAAAGCATCCCCTGCAGATGGCCAGCCAACCTCTGCTTAAAAACCTCCAAGGAAGGAGAGGGAGTCCATTCTACTGTCAAGCAGCTCTTGCTGTCAGAATGTTCTTCCTGATGTTTAGTCGGAATCTCTTTGTTTCTTGAAGCCGTTGGTCCGCGTCTTACCCTCCAGAGCAGGAGAAAACAAGCTTGTTCCTTCTACTATGTGGTCCCTTTATCTCAATATAGTCTACACTGACTGGCAGGGGTTCTTCATGATTTCAGAAAGGAGCCTTGCTTAGCCCTACCTAGAAATGACACTGGGAATTGAACCTGGAACCTTTTGCATGAAATGCAGGTGTTCCACCACTGAGCCAAGCGCCTTCCCGTCAAAAGTGTGTTTCAGGGCAAGGGGAAGGCTGTATGTATGTGTGGGTGTAAGAGAGAGTGAGAGAGGCGTGTGTTGTGCATCAATCGGACACAAGTAAAATGGTCGCCACCTGTATTTTAAAGATCTAAGAGCCTATATTTCCACACTTTGCTGTATGTTTTGTGATTCTAAACCTGCTGGGCTTCTCTCACCAATGAATACTTGCACCAAACCTTGTTCTTGACATCCAGGAATTCTCCTTTCTATACACTTACATTTTGCACCAACAGAATTAACAATAAGACTTTCAAAAAGTTAAAATAATAATAGACAAAAAACAGATTAAAACTCCTACCAACTTTCTAATGCCTGAACGAAAACGTTTGACGCAGGCACCGAAAAGTGAAGGGGCATGGCCTGATACCACACTCTTGCTCCTGAAAAAATATTGAGGAGCCATAGCTGGCTTCTTGAGAGTGTTGGTTTTTGCACATCTATCGTTAGTGATCAGAAAGACTGCATCTTCCAGAAGGGTTTCCCACTGCCTGCCCCAGGGTTTAGGGTGTGCACATTCTCTCCACCTGAGAGGCTTTGAGTTACATGATACAGCCTCATAGGAGCCGAGTTACTTTCATTAATTTGTTTGTTTATTTTGTAAAATTTATATACCACTTTGATTGTAGGGGGAAATATCAAAAGAGGTTTACAAAAAAGATAATAAAAACATTTTTTAAAAATTCAGCTGTAAAAGTAAGTAAAAAAGCAAAAGCCACAATAAAATAGACTAAAACAAATCAAAACTCATTCAGACTTCTGGGTGGGAATGACTTCTGCAGGCGCCAAAAAGAACAGTGATGACTCCTGCATGATATCAATAGGCAGGGAGTTCCAAAGTGTAGATGCTGCCACACTAAATGATCAGGTTCATTATTACTATTATGTTTTCACGTAGAGTTTAAGGTACATAAAAGTAAAACAGAACATTAAAAATTGCAAACAAGTGTGGGGCAATCAAATTTTCAAATCGATGGCAGAAGGGTTCCGTATCCATGTCAAATGTAGTCCATAACGTTCATTTACAATCGGGTTCTCACAATCGGGCCAGTTTTGCCATTCAAGTGGTCGACTGGGAGCAGGTGGGGCAATCGGACCTCGCAGGCAAACTGGTCCCAGCTTGTTAAGGGCCTTCCTTATATGCTAATAGTAACACCTTGCTAGAAAAATGCAACCTGTGCTGCTAATAGAAGTAGTGCAACTCATGCAACACGTTGCCGATTAATATACAGAGAACAATAATTATACATACTTTATGAACCTTCTGAGAAAAATACAAAACATTAAACAAAGCCACAGAGACTTGCGAACTACCCATCCTAAAATGAACTTATGATGTCTGGTTTCAATAGATTTTTCAAATGCTTAACTCAGCCTTTTAGATAAGTTCATGAAGATACCAACAAAAGGTAAGTTCAGTGTTATTCACAATACCAAGAGATGCTAATAGAGTTGTAGACAATGAAGTTGTTGACGGCGTTTTGCACCTGTTTCGCCCTGGCAGTAATCAAAAGGCCGCTGTTTGCCCCCGATGGAGCCCTTTAACTGGGGCTTGCAGGTAGCACACTCCCAATATTGTTTTCTGGGCTTCTTCAGTGGTCTAATCTCAAAGTCTTGATAACATATATCGATATTCAGTCTTATAGAGAATACTCTTTCTTGGCTTAAGCTTAAGAGACTGATTTGCTTAGCCATTGTGAATAACACCAAACTTACCTTTTGTTGGTATCTTCATGAACTTACCTAAAAGACTGAGTTAAGCATTTGAAAAATCTATTGAAACCAGACATTATAGGCTAATAGTGTTAATGGAGAAATCTGAGAAGTCCCTTGGACAAAAAACAAGGGCACCAGCCAGGAATACCAGAGCAAAACAGCAGCCAGTAGGCTTGGTCTTTATTGAGGACTGTCGCGACAGGACTCCCACCTGCCACAAGGTAGAACAAGACAGAAGCCCCAAACAAAAGAGCCCCCAAACTTTTATTAGCTGCTAATCCCCATGTTACACCCCCCAAACTACATCATTAATACCGTACATCATGGTTACATCATGAAAGGGGAAGTCTGGTGGCAGTAACCTGAGCATCCTGGACCCTGCCCCATGGTTCTCCTTGCCCTCCACCAAACACCCATCAAGTGTAACAAAAGAGAGATTTACATTTCCCTGTTTCCCAGCCAAGTTAATCACACCCTTTTGTCTTCATCTGGGATTGTTATTTCTGGAATGGCTACCTGTCTGGCACTCAGGTATCAGGAGGCCAGGGATTATCACTCAGGCAGAGGGGCTGCTGAGGAGCTGAGCTCACATGTCTATATGAATTTCTGAAGTTTTCCCTGTGAGCCAATACATAGATACATTGATCAGCGAATTCTTACATTTGGTATCATGCAGCAAAGGCCCTTTGAATAGACAGGAATAAACTGTGATGAAGTGTTTTGTGGGGACAAATCACAAAAGTCACAAAAGCGATTGTGCTGATTTTGGTAGTGGGCTGCATGTGCATGATATCTGCTGGAGGGGCAAACCCCCCTCCCCAACCTGTACATAAATTCCTGCAACAGTTGTAACACCTTGAGCTTGGCCAGGTAGCAAGCAGATAGACCACCAGTGCAGACCTCTGTGAGCTTTGAGCAAACGAAGGCACCCAGATGGGCTTTTTCCTCCTTAAAAGCTTCAAGGGAGGAACTTCCACATCCTCTAAAAAACGTGTCAGCTTTGCTGCTCAGCTGCCCTTCTCACTGATTGCAATGGTGGCAGGGAGGCTGTGATGCGTGCAGTGGGTGGGATCTGGCATAAGAGCACCCTGCAGGGGCTGATGTGTGGGGAAGGATCCCTGCTTGCCTGGAGGGAGGAGCAGGCTGGATCTCTGCCTTGAGCTTGCGTGCAGCCTGCTTTCTGGTTGGCTGCTCCCGGAGGAGGAGGAAGAGGAGGAGGAGAATCGCTCACTGGCAGCTGCCCAGCTTGCAAAACCAAGCTGCAGCCAGGTTAAGGGAGAAGGGAGAAGGCGGATTGGAGGTCCTGCGATCAGGACTGCTCACGCACCTGGCAGCAGGTAAGAGAGAGAGAGAGAGAGGAGGTGTGCACTGGCGGTATCAGGGCTGAGAGTGTTCCACATAATCAAAGCCTGCTGGACCAGGCCAGCACATTTTTGCAGGAAATTCCCTTATTCCTGCGCCGTTTCCCACTGCTTCCCTCTATGCCGGATTGTTACATATCCGGTAGACTGTCCCCGGGACAGGTGAGGCTGCTGATCCCTTATTTTTGAGGCTAAAGGTAAAGGGACTGCTGACCATTAGGTCCAGTTGTGACCGACTCTGGGGTTGCGGTGCTCATCTCACTTTATTGGCCAAGGGAGCCGGCGTACAGCTTCCGGGTCATGTGGCCAGCAGGACTAAGCCGCACACGGAAAACGCCGTTTACCTTCCCACCGGAGCAGTACCTATTTATCTACTTGCACTTTTTGTGCTTTCAAACTGCTGGGTTGGCAGGAGCAGGGACCGAGCAACGGGAGCTCACCCTGTCGCGGGGATTCGAACCGCCGACCTTCTGATTGGCAAGTCCTAGGCTCTGTGGTTTAACCCACAGCGCCACCCGTGTCCCTTTATTTTCGAGGCTGCTGGTCCCTTATTTTCAAATCTGAAAGTTGACAGCTATGGGCCAGCATCCCCCCGAGGCCAGCATCCTAGGTGGCCAACCAGATGCGCGTTGGAGGAGGAGGAAACCCTGAGGCGGCCTCAGGTTCAAATCCCGAGTCTCCTATTAAAAAGGCGAGATATAAATGCAATACAGTGACCAGAGACGCGCTTTGCATGCTTAGGGTCCCTTGTTTCATGCCTGCGGCATCCCAAGCGAGAGAAACTTGGCTGCAGCACAGCCTGGCCTCCACTGCACAAAAGGGGTAAAGCCTCTGGAATTGCAAATGACCCAGCAATAAACCAACCACAAGAGGTCTCAGAGCCGCCCAGCCTAATCCTGGCAAATGGGGGAGGGGGGAGCGTGGGGGGCAAAGTCTTGTTGCTGCAGTGGAATGCAAGAGTTAACTGATCTTGATGGGGATGAAGAGGGGGGAAGGGTGTCCCTACCCATCTTAGTTTCTTGACTTGCATACCACCAACAGTTTACTTTGGGTACTGCCCCTGCCAATAAATAAAGTTTAATATTTAACCAACTGCTCCTCTGGGTGTCCTTCTGGGCTGTGTCAAAAGGTTTCTTGCTGACCGCTCTCAAAGCACCTCCAGTTTGTTTCCATTTCAAATAATAATAATATAATCATCATCATCTATTTTAAAATTACCGTATTTTTCACCCTATAGGATGCACCTAGATTTGGGGGGGGGAATAAAGGGGGGGAAAATATTTTTTCCCCCAGGCGCGGGGCTGGGGAAGCCCGAGCTTCCCCCTCCCCCAGCCCCCAGAACGGGACCCAGAGCGATGCCGTAGCTGCCTGCAGCTTTGGCATCGCTCTGGGAGCTTGCGGGGCTGGGGGAGGGGGAAGCCCTCCGCCAGCCTTCTAACCAAGTCGGGGGACAGCGGGAAAGGCGCGCTGCGCCTCCCGCTGTCCCCCGAGTTTGCTGGGCTGGCGACGGGGAGGAGCAGGCTTCTCCCCCCCGCCAGCCTTCTAACCAAGTCGGGGGACAGTGGGAAAGGCGTGCTGCGCCTCCCCGCTGTCCCCCGACCTTGTGGGGCTGGCGGTGGGGCTCTCCTGAAGCCTGGAGAGTGAGAGGGGTCAGTGCGCACCGACCCCTCTCGCTCTCCAGGCTTCAGCAAAAGCCTGCATTCGCCCCATAGGACGCACACACATTTCCCCTTCATTTTTGGAGGGGAAAAGTGCGTCCTATAGGGTGAAAAATACGGCAATAGTTTGCTTTTAGGGAGGGGGGTCAAGCTCCAACTGCTACCCCACCAAAAACTTTTTAGCGGTCTCCCCCTCACAAAAATGTATCCGTAAAAAATGAGTTTTGTGACACCACCCAAAATGTGTGGGTCCTCTCCCCCCCCCCCCCCGTTTTCTTTTAAGGGATTGAAAATACTGGAGGTGATTGGAAGGTCTTTTGCAAAGCAACTTTAAGAACTGGAGTTATTGCCCTACCCAGTTTTGCTCATCACTTGGGCTACTTTGACATGAACCTGCCCCCCGCTCAAGAGTTTGCCATGGGTCATGGTGGTCCTAAGCCCCCAAAGGTCTACCCACTCCAGGAATAGACTGTCCTGTTGGCATCTGTCTATTTTGGGTGATGATTGAGGAGTGTGCTGTCCTTTAGATATCTGGCTTTAGAGCCGTGCTTCCCAATGTATTTGGGAATACCAAAACCCCCTCCCAGTGGCCCTCCACCCGACCCTGTCAAAAGCATTTTTCAGAATAGCGGCTTGCACGACCCACTAAGGAAGAGAATAACCCAATAAAGTTCAAAGCTGTCACAGCTAATTGCACCTTTGTTAGGGTTGTGATACATCCAGAATTTCCCGTACATACACGGAATACTGCAATCAGAAGCAGTGTCTGGGCAGAAATCAGTTAAATGTCCAGGGAAATCCATATGTATGACAATGCAGTGTCGTATTTGCTGCCAATTTTTTGAAGTTCATTTAAACTTCGGGCAAAAAAAAAAAATTATATAGCTCAACAACTCTTGCGTCCGGATTTTTTCACTTTTTGAAATATGGCAACCCTTCCTTTGTTCAAAATCCAATTGAAGCTCATTAGTTTAATTAATTCAACAAAACTGATGAACTTGATCCAGGGATGCCAGCTTTTCAAAGTCTGATAGTCATTTATGCCTCCATGATACATGACAAGATAAAAAAGATGTTTAAAATGAGTTTATCAAAAAAGCCCAAAGCATTTCTGTTAGGGATTATAGAGGCAGAAATCCCACCCCCATCAAAATAAAAAATGTTGAAGTTATTTATGTATGAAACAACAGCAGCTAGGATTTTATACGTGCAGAAATGGTGCAGAGGAAGTTCCAACCAAAATGGATAAGTAATATATGTAGAACTGGCAAAATTAACAGCAAAATTAAGAGAATCTAATGATGAGTGTTTTATGGAAGAATTGAATGCTTTTTCAGACTATTTTAAATAATTGTAATAGTGCAATGAACTCATGAGCAGGATTTGAGCTATGAGCAACAGGAGTACGGTAATTAGATTATAAAATTGTGGTTATGATTCAGTAGATTGAAAATACGGTGCAGCAGAAGGGGAGAAACAACAACTCTGGGAAAAGGCGTGGGAAGTCGACAAAAATAAAAGACGAAATTGTGTTATGACCGTTTGTGCTAAAAATGTTGAAACTTAATAAAATACAATTGAAAACAGTAATTTATGCCTCCAACATCCCCCTTGTCTCTTTCTGCCCCCCTAGGTAATAATAATAATAATAATATAATAATAATAATAATAATAATAATAATAAATAATTAATATAAATAAGTATAAAAATTAATTTTATTTCTACCCCACCCTCCCCAGCCAAGACCGGGCTCAGGGCGGCAAACACCAAGTATAAAAAGTATTGATTAAAATACAACTTACAAACAAGATTAAAGCACAACATTAAAATGCAGCCTCATTTCCGTAGAAACTGAAATCAAAAACTTTTTGGGGATGAAAACATCAAATCTTCACCAAGGCCAACTATCCAGACTGGTCCTATGTGGGCCAGAAAAAAAGCCAGGGAAGTCCCCAAATAGGAGTTCCATCACAGAAGGAGAAAGGAAAAAGGAAAGAGGGGAAGGGGATCAAGTTGATTCCAAGCCAAAGGCCAGGCGGAATAACTCTGTCTTACAGGCCCTGCGGAAAGAAATCAGATCCTGCAGGGCCCTGGTCTCATGAGACAGAGTGTTCCACCAGGCCGGGGCCAGTGTTGAAAAGGCCCTGCCTCTGGTTGACGCTAATCTGACTTCCTTAGGGCCCGGGACCTCTAGGGTGTTGCTATTTATGGACCTTAAGGTCCTCCGTGGGGCTTACCAGGAGAGGCGGTCCTGTAAGTACGAGGGTCCAAGGCCGTGAAGGGCTTTAAAGGTAAAAAACCAGCACCTTAAACCTGACCCTGGACTCCACCGGGAGCCAGTGCAGCTGGAAAAGCACTGGGTGAATATGCTCCCATGGCAGGGACCCCGTGAGGAGCCTCGCTGCAGCATTCTGCACCCGCTGGAGTTTCTGGGACAGCTTCAAGGGCAGCCCCGCGTAGAGCGAATTACAGTAGTCCCACTGCCCCCAAGAGGGGCTGCCAATTTAGAGGCTCCCCCTAGCCGCTTGAAACGAGCAATTAGTCCCACCCCAGGAAATCCGACAAGCCGTTTGTTCTGTTTTCCAGGGAGACGAGGAAGGCAAATTCAAGATGGCCGAGTACCACATTCGCAGGTATGAAGATCGGGACTACGAAGCCGCCCGCACGATATTCTCCCGGGGGATCAACGAACATGCTCCTGCAGGTTTCCGGCATGTTCTCTCTTGCCCCCAGACCCACCTGTTGCTCCTGGGCACACTCCTCACAACCTACCTGGCCACCTCTTCCCTTCTCCTTTCCCTCAGTGCCGTGGCTGCCCTGTTGGCCGTGGGCTGGATATTCACAAAGCGCCTCTGGGCGGACTACGTTCACGAGGCCCTCGCCACAGACATGAAGGACATCCACCAGACCTACCTGGTGCCCAAAGACTGCAGCTTCTGGGTGGCGGAGGCCGGCGGCGAAGTAGCGGGCATCGTCGCCGCCACCCACCCAGAAGACCCGTCTCTGCGCGGCAGGGCACTGGAGCTGAAGCGCATGTCTGTGGCAAAGGCGCACCGGGGCCACGGGCTTGGCAAGGCTCTCACCAGGACGGTTCTCCTCTTCGCCCAGGAGCACGGGTACAAGGAGGTGGTTCTGGGCACCTCCATGGCACAGGTGGCGGCCCATCGGACGTACGAGGGCATGGGCTTCCGCAAAGTCAAAGAGATATGCCCCACCGTCCTCTGTAAGCTGCTGAGGTTCTACATCTACATCTATCACTACGAGATCGGAGGATCTCATTGACACCGGCAACCTGGGGACCAGAGGAAGGAAGCAAGAGATTGTGGCCTGTTTGCAGACAGGTGTCAGCTAGGGAGGAGGGAGAAAGAAAGTTGATCCGATGAGCCTTAAAAGTGAGCCCACCTAACATGCACTGATTTGCCAAACATGCACATACTAGAGACTGTTAGCGAAAATAACCAGGGATTTTTCTCAGCTGGAACTCACCAGAACTCAGCTTTAGCACCTCTCAGCTGGATGCCATTTCCATTACAAGAGAACAAGAGTTCCTGGTGAGTTCCAGCACCTCTTTTTCAAGAATAGCACTGAAGAAAACCGTGCAGAAATGCCTTCGATTTTGCTTTGCCAAAAATGTGTGCATTAGGGTGAGATTCGCAACAGAATGTGAATTTTCAAGAGGACTTTCACAATAAATGAATGAATGTGCAAACTGGATATGCCGAGAACTGATGACTGGGGAAATGAAATCAAATACTTTATTGTCACTTGTACAACTTGTATACAGTGAGATTACACAAGCACCCCCCACTCAGCTCTCTTAGTCTTAATTCCCCTCGTTTACTGACACACACACCAAACCCAAAAGTCAGTTGCCCTGTTGTTATCTTTTCATTCAGCAGCCTAACAGCCCACGGATAGAAGCTGTTCTTTACCCTGTTGGTGCGACTAATCATGCTTCTATATCTTCTGCCCGAGGGCAGGAGATTAAGAAAGTGCCGGCCAGGGTGTGAATCATCCCTGAGAATTTTCCTTACTCTCCTGAGGCAACGTTCTTCCACTATTTCATCCAGCGGATTCACGGGACAGCCCATAATATCTTGTGCTGCATTCACCACCCTCTGTAGGCACTTCCTATCTGTTGATGTCAAACCAGCGTACCACACCGTGATGAAGTATGAAAGGACACTTTCTATTGTGGACCGGTAGAAGGAGATCATCAAATGTTGATTGACATCATTCTTCTGCAATACTCTGAGGAGATGTAGTCTCTGCTGGGCTTTCTTAACCACCTGGGTTGTATTGATTTTCCAAGTAAGGTCTTCACTGAGATAAACTCCTAGGAATTTAAAGGAAGAGACTCTCTCCACACAGCCCTCCCCGATGTACAGCGGGGCTAGTTCTCCTCTCTTCCTCCGAAAGTCCAACACCATCTCCTTTGTCTTGCTGATATTAAGGTGCAAGTTGTTCCCTAGGCACCATGTAGATATTAGACTCAAACTGACATATTTCATGGACTGGTTGGACACAGAGGAATAGTGAGAGGAACCAGCCGGAAAAACCCCAAGGGAAGAGAGCTCAGAGCCCAGAGATTGGCAATGGGAAGACCGTAAGTGGTCAGAGGGAGAAGATGGGAGGAAGAGGAGGTGTCGGAAGCTGAGGAAGCAACAGGGCTTAGTGAGCGGGGAGAGTCTGTGGCAGAGAGAAGACCAGACTCAGTGGCAGAAGCTGAAGCAGGCCAGGGGAGGAGGGAGGCCAAGAGGCAGAGATGGGGCAGAGCCACAGGTGTCTCCTCCTCCTTCTGAGACCAGCTCCCCTCCGCACTGGTCTCCTAGGAGAGGTATGAAAAGGGTTGAGAAGTGGGCAATGTGCAGGCGCAGTCTTCGATTGCTTGGAAAATACCCTGGAGAGGAAGAAACTCAGGCAGCCGTGGGGAAGTCAGGACCTTCCGTCTCAGCAACTGCTTCATGGGGTCAGGAGCTGCCGGAGATAAGTTGCTGTGCTCATTAGGTCTGACACTCCTGCGCAGATCCTGTTTTTGCTAATAAAGTATTAACTCCCAGTTGCTCAGTTTGCTCTTTTCAGAGTCAAGGCCGGCGCTTGGTACTGTATACCTGAAGGAGTGCCTCCACCCCCATCGTTCTGCCCGGACACAGATCCAGCTCCGAGGGCCTTCTGGCGGTTCCCTCACTGCGAGAAGTGAGGCTACAGGGAACCAGACAGAGGGCCTTCTCAGTGGTGGCGCCCGCCCTGTGGAACGCCCTCCCTTCAGATGTCAAGGAAATAAGCAGCTATCTTATCTTTAAAAGACATCTGAAGGCAGCCCTGTTTAGGGAAGTTTTTAATATTTAATGCTGTATTGTTTTTAACACTCGATTGGGAGCCGCCCAGAGTGGCTAAGGAAACTCAGCCAGATGGGTGGGGTATAAATAACAAATTGTTGTTGTTATTTTATATTTTTTATTATTATTATAACATAGAAGCTGCATTGGCCTCACTTAACCAGAGCTTGATTCTCTTATCAGCTAGCAGCTAAGTTAAAACCTCGTCAGAGATCCTTCTCCTCTTCCCTTCCCAATTAAGCCACCCATTAGCCTGAGCTGCAGGCCTGCAGGAAGAGCAAAACGAAAGTTATCACCTTCATCACAGGTCATGAATTCCACAACCAAAGTGGGTTTTGCAAGCCCTTAAGGTTGCTAAGAGACCTCAAGCCTGGAAGGAGAAACACCCCACCGGCTGTGCAATGGTCAGAAGACCTTGATGCCCTTCCTACAGAATCACAGAGTTGGAAGGGACCCCGAGGGTCATCTAGTCCAACCCCGTACAATGCAGGAATCTCATTTGAACATGTTTCTTATAAATGCAATCTCATGTGGGTACCAGCTTGGACGCTTTACACCAGGGGTCAGCAACCATTTTCAGCAGGGGGCTGGTCCACTGTCCCTCAGACCTTGGGGGGGGGCAGACTATATTGGGGGGGGGGAATGAACGAATTCCTATGCCCCACAAATAACCCAGAGATGCATTTTAAATAAAAGGGCACATTCTACTAAGGTATAAACACACTGATTCCTAGACCATCCGCAGTCCGGATTGAGAAGGTGATTGGGCCGCATCCTGCCCCCGGGCCTTAGGCTGCCTACCCCTGCTTTACACCAATGTGTATGTTTCAGTTAAGGTGGGATGTTGATGCTTACAGTATTTTTAACCCGGCTGGTAAGTTCCGCCCCCCTCTAAACTCCCTACCTGCCTTCTGTTTTTCTCCTCTTTGTTCAAATCGATTTTTAGAAAACTGAAATAAGCAGGCCACAAATTCCTGGGAGTCCTGCTTGCCCGTGAGTCTCTGGGGACCTCCAATGTAGGATTCCTGGAAGAGTTTGAACAGAGGAGAGGGGGGAAACCAGATGAGTTAAACCCAAATGCAGACCACCTGTCTGGCTCTCTGCACAATTTGATGGGGCAGCCTGGTGTGAGGCAGGACCCAGCCAGTAGCCCACTGTAAAGCTGGCATTTTGGGGTTGGCACACTTCCAAAAGGGGGTTCCTCATGCAGCCTGCTGCAAGATCATTTTTAGCTGGCGATGCTGCCAGGGATTTTACCTGGGACCCTCTGGGAATAAGCCAGTGTTAAGGCACAAGGGTCCTTCCCTGGCCATGCTCTGGAACAGAAACCCTTCTCCATAATGTCTGGTCTTCCTTGAATTGGGGGGGGCAGTGCAGGGGGCCCCCAGGCTTGAGCTACTGTGTGGAAAATAGACTTCAGGTCCCACACTGGCAAGTTAACGCCACGCAGGGCCTCCACTTCCTCCAGTGTGGCTCACAATGCCCACAAGCCTGGAGATTGGGTGGAAGATGGATGAAGGAAGGGGGCAAGAGGGCGGGTGCTTGTGTGAACAGTTGTGTCTGTGTGCCACCCACTTTTTGCTCCGCCCTTTCATTCTCCCCTAAGCAAATGGAATGGTGGGGACGCAGGCGAGGGCCTTCTCGGTGGTGGCTCCCAAACTTTAGAATTTCCTCCCTAGAGAACCTAGACTGGCTCCCTCCATATTGTCCTTCCACTGGCAGGTGGAGACTTTCTTGTTCCAACAAGCTTTGGGGAACTGACTGTTGTTGTTTTTTTAAATCAAAGGGCTATTAATGGGGCGCGGGGGGGGTTATCTGCACTTTTAAGAGATCTGTATTTTACATTGTTTTAATTCATCTATTTTTACAAACCCTAACAATCCCGCCCATTGTTTGAATAAGATGGCTTGTCCCTTTTAAAAAAAATTCACCCTATAGTATATAAACCTGTGCTTGGAAACACCCAGTATCAGTCTTTCAACATCAGCGGTAACATCTAGACCATGGGAATGTTTCAGCTCTGTTCTTGAATTTGTTTAAAATCTAAAACAGCTTATCTTGTATTCCTTTCTTTGAATTTGTGCCATTTAGGTTTTTTAAACCTTTTTGTAAAGGCAACACCAGAATTTTCAGAGCTGAGTCCTCAACTCTTTATTACTGTGCTTTGCTTTCTTTAAGTTGGGCTTTGTCAAAAACTTGCCATTTAGGTTTTCAAACCTTTTTTGTAAATTCAGTATTAGAAACTGTACCTTAATCCTTTCGCTCCGCCCTTTCACTCCCCCCTAAGCAAATGCAATGGTGGGGACGCAGGAGAGGGCCTTCTCGGTGGTGGCTCCCAAACTTAATCCTTTATTACTTAAAAACTTAATCTTTTATTACTGCACTTTGCTTCACCTAGGTCGAGCTAGGATTATAATACTTCAGAATTTTTGGGAGTTCTACCCACTTTTTCTGAATTTTGTTGATTTAAGGTTTATGATTTTTCTATTTCCTTCTGAGGAAACTGAATAGTTTAGTGAGGTTTGTAGCCGGCATCCCGCTAAGGCTTTGTTCAATTTTAGGTTTTTCTAATTTTTTCCTTAAACTTTTTGATTTTTATTATTTAGTTTATTTTCATAAGATAATATTTCTTGTCTATTACTTCTCGTTTCAGGGGTTTTCACAGTATTTCATTTGTTTTGTACAATTTCTCGGTTCCGTGTCTGTCTTTGTTATATGTTTTTGGCTTTTTGCAGTTCATCCGTGTCATTTCAATTTGTGCGAACCGTCTCGCAAAAAAGATGGGATGCATTAAAAAATGTAATAACAACTCCCACCCCAAAGGCACTTTAACTCTCGGCTTTTGAGTCCCTCTTCTCCCATGAACTTGTTTCACACTGTCTCTCGGTTCTCCACCTGTAAAATGGGGACATTTTCACTGCAAGGGCAAACAGCCCTCCTCTGAACAGAAAGACAAAAAGACGATTACCAACCACACTTTTATTATTTCCATTCAGAGAGGAAAATGCTGTCTTTGCGAAACAGCTTTTTCTCCTCAAAAACGTGTTCTTTCAGGTAATACATTTCACTCCAACAGACCCCAGCTGGGTTAGGAGATAAGGATTCCCCATACACAAACACACACTGCCTCACCTTGAGGCTTTTAAAAAACATTATACATTCAGACTGAAAAAGCTCTCTCCTCAAGAGTCATTTCGGGCAGCTTGCCTGACCCCGTGGGAAGGTCTCTGGAGCGAGTTCTTGCATAGCTTCAGTCTATCTTAGTGGGGCTTATGCAGGAGACCTGCCCACTAGGCCATGCTCCCGAGACCCTAGTGCAAAAGACTATTTTCTGTATACAGTCACGTTCCCACGTAGAAGAAGAAGCGGAGTCAACTGTGCTGGGAGGGGAAATGAAGATACTTCTAGTAAAAGTCCTTCCTTTGTGGATCGGCAAGTGGGGCTCACCTGGGCATGTGCGTCGCAGGTTGGAAAATGCAAAGAGGTGGCGCATTTTGCCCCCCCCCAAACCCAGTGTCTGCCTACCCACCCACCTGCCCACCCTACGGGTGCAATGTGAAAATGGGCTTCCTGTGCTTGCTGAATGAAAATGCCCATTAACAGCCACGTTCTCAAAGATAGATGGGAGTACAGCCCAAACTCAACTCCCTGGGGAAAGTCCAGAGGGCCTGATAGGAACGTGCAGAGGGCCACATTTGGCTCCCACTCCCCACTGCTTCAAAGGCAGTCTGTCCCACCTTCCACGGGGGGGGGGGGGGGAGATAGCAGGGGGCTTTGGGAAAGAAGACTTTCCAACCAGCCTCGCTACCGCCCTGGGCGGGACGGAATGAATTTCATGGGGAATTTAAAAATCCTGGCCAAAACAACCCAGGCGGTTTGTGCCGATATCAACAAAGCAATAGATCACCTGCATCCCACGACTAGGGGCAGATCCACTACGCACCTCTGAAGCACATGACTTCCCCCAAAACATTCTGGGAACTGTAGTTTAAGCACCCTGTAGGTCTGTCAGCGGGGGAACTACAGTTCCCACGGGTCTTTGGGAGGGGGAGTTTTAAAACGTGGGCTGAATGCGCTTCGAAAGCCTGGTGTGTGTCCGAGATTGGACTACTGAGCTTGCTTTTCAGAGCTGGTTGCGAATACACCCTTCTTCCACGGGACGGGCAGTCGAGGTGAAAAAGTAGAAGCGTCCGGACTGGGTGGGGGGCAACCTCAGGTTCAGAAAGGCGATCTGACCCCCACTTGCGAGCATGTGACCAAAGGGTGTCCAATAGCAGGCTGGAGATCAAGTGACGAGTCCTTCCACTATGTGCACAGAAGCCCTTGACACCCACAGGCAACCCCCCCCCAAAAAAACACATACACACACCCATCCCCAGTCCTGATATGTTGGGCTGGTGCCTGCAAGAGAAGAACATTCAAGGCTGTCGGAGCCCCTGCTAAGAGCGAGAGGGGCGTCACCAGACGTATCTTGACCTTTGGGGGCGACGCCAAGAGTTTCTGCCGCGCCCCCGCCACGGCCTTTCGTAGGGGTGGGCTCTTTCGCGTTGCTCGTGGGGGCGGTACTGTATGAACTCGGAGCGCCGCCTTCGTCTGGCTCGCCTGGAGCGCCCGGCCGTTGTGGGAATAGGGGAGCCGTTGGGGGGTGTTTCTGGAGGAAAGCGAGAAAGGGGTCAGAGTGGGGTAGCAGAGCGGTCACAGGAAGTAAAAGCAGCAGGAAAACCCAGAATCAGCTGCACAATTGAGACATCTTGTGTGAGTTTAGGATGAAGCCCTCTGGAGACTTAGGAAATGTATGTACCACTTTCAGCAGCTGAACTGGTTACCAGTCTCTGTTCTAGGTGGGGTAGATAAAAATCAATGGTTTTTTTTAAAAAAATAAAATAGGATTTTTAAAAATTTAAATCGGATTTTAAAAAAATAATAAAATGCTTTGGATGGAAAAACTAAAGATCAAATGCTTTTGGAGAAATAAACTTTCTAAAGATAGTTTTCTATTTAAGTTACATTATAGTCCAAAGGCTATACATCAGGAAATAAGGATTTGTTTTAAGTTTTTCATGTGTGCTAAGTCTAAGTCGTTTGGAGTTTTTTAATCGTTTAACTGCATCTGTTAAAAAACATGGATACATATGCTACAATGCTATTGTTTTAGTTAAATAAATTGTTTAAATTGTTTTTAAGTAAATGATTGTTTTTCTCCTTTCAATGAAGCACAGCAGAAAAGTTGTCCAAATATAACTTATTAAACCTCACAATAATTAACTTATTAAACCTCACAATAATTTCATAATTATCCGTCTATGCATTTCTAATAGTATAACCAAATCAGTAATTTTTGATATAACTGTAAAATCTACTCTGAAAATTTATTATTCCAAAAATGAAACCTTCATCTGGCCGTAAATAAAGAATGAGTCTTTCTGTAAAAAAAATAATGTAAATAAAGTCTTACTGATTAGTGATTTAAATCAAATCCACCCTGGTTCTTGGGACAACTCCAAAGTGCTGACAGTTCCCTTTCCAGCCCTAAACAGCTTGGATCCAGGATTCCCTAGAAAATCATTTCCTCTCCCATGCAGAGAGGGCCAGTTGATGAAGAATGCAGGGTCTTTTTAGTGGTTGCACCCAGATTCTGGACTACTTTGCCCTCAGGAGGCTCAGCTGGCCTCCTCCATTACTGTTTTGCTGGCAGGTGAAAATATTAGTATTCAAGGTAAGGAATTCCTATTTTATGTCTTTGCTTTATCTGCTGAACCTCCTCTCTTATATTTATGGAATGGTAACTGTATTCTTATGGGACGCAGGTGGCACTGTGGTGTAAACCACTGAGCCTTGGGCTTGCCAATCGGAAGGTCGGTGGTTCGAATCCCCGCGACAGGGTGAGCTCCCATTGTTTGGTCCCAGCTTCTGCCAACCTAGCAGTTCAAAAGCACATCGAATGCAAGTAGATAAATAGGTACCGCAGGAAGGTAAACGGCGTTTCCATGCGCTGCTCTGGTTCGCCAGAGTGGTCATGCAGGCCACATGACCCGGAAAAATTGTCTGCAGACAAACGTCGGATCCCTTGGCCAGTATGGCGAGATGAGCACCACAACTCGAGAGTCGTTCATGACTGGACTTAACTGTCAGGGGTCCTTTAGCTTTTTAACTGCATTTTATCATTGAGTTTTAATGTTTTAAGCTGCCCCGAGCGATGGGCAGGATATAAATTTCTCTCTCTCCCTCCCTCATTTCTGTACAGTAGTACCTCTGCTCCCGAATGCCTTGGGAGTCGAACGTTCTGGCTCCCGGACGATCGAAAACAAGTGGTGAGTGTTCCGGTTTTTGAACTTTTTTTGGAAACTGAACATCCATTGTGGCCTCTGTTATTGTTTCCAGCGTGCCCGCGCAATCGGAAACCAATCAGAAGCCACGACTTTGTTTCCAAACATTTCGGAAGTCAAGTGGACTTCCGGAACGGATTCCGTTCGACTTCTGAGGTACAACTGTGTATTCTTTCCAACAAATATATGCTTATTTGCGCAGCTTTTTCCCTGATAAATGCATCTCTCTACACAGTATTTGGAAAGCTGCATCCAAAATTTGGAGAAGTGCAAATTAGAAAGGATAGTTGTGTATTAAAGGTAAAGGTAAAGGGACCCCTGACTATTAGGTCCAGTCGTGGCCGACTCTGGGGTTGTGGCGCTCATCTCGCTTTATTGGCTGAGGGAGCCGGCGTACAGCTTCCGGGTCTTCTGGCCAGCATGACTAAGCCGCTTCTGGCGAACCAGAGCAGCGCACAGAAACGCCGTTTACCTTCCCGCCGGAGCGGTACCTATTTATCTACTTGCACTTTGATGTGCTGTCGAACTGCTAGGTTGGCAGGAGCAGGGACTGAGCAACAGGAGCTCACCCTGTCGCGGGGATCTGAACCACCGACCTTCTAATCGGCAAGTCCTAGGCTCTGTGGTTTAACCCACAGCGCCACCCGCGTCCCATAATTGTGTATTGGTCCACAACAAACTGGTTCAAGAAGTGGAAGTTAGTTTCTTGTTAGAACGCAAAGAGAACCAAACTTGTGTCTCAGCTGTAGCTGACGACACTGAGCCGCACTCTGTGCATGGCAGGTTCCTATGTTCCCCTCTAACATTGGCTCCCTCTCCAGTTGCACAGGACCCCAATGCTCCTAGTCCATATGAGAAAAGCCTGCTGGCTCAGAAGCCCAGGAACTGATGAGGAGCCCAATTGTGGGACGTCCTTCTGCTTCAGATTCCCCCTTTCCCCCTCCCCGTTCCTAGCAAGCAAAGCCTCTCTTGCCACCCATCCCTGGCCTTTCTTCATCCCTACCCTTTTGGGGCTGCTGCCAAATCCCTTCTCATCCATCCTCCTCTGCCCTCCAAGGAGACATCTCTTCCCAGGTGTATCGTGATAACAGATTGTGTTTGGCTTTGCTGAACTCAGAGAGTTGCAAGCAAAGAACCAAGTACTTGCAGATTAAGTTACATCATGCAAGAGAGTGTATTCAGAAAGGACTCATTCGGGTGACCTACATGCCATGAAACAAAATTCCTGCGGATCTGTTGTCTAAGGTTGTTAACAGCGAACAACTTAGGGTTTATGTACAGCGGTTGCAGTTGGGTTAAAACACAGGTGATACAGGTTACACGGAAAGGGGGAGGATGTTAGAATATTCCGTTCCACCTTAAGAGGAACAGACATGATTGTCGTATGTCACATGTCTGTTTACACTCCAGCACAGCTTGCTGGGAACTTCTGTTTGTGTGTATAGCTATTGCTTTTGCTTGGACACAAAGGGAGAAGACATGTTTTTCCTTTGTCTTGATGTATGCTGAATGAACTACCTGTAGATATGCTCTCACAGCCATCTCCTGCCACTTCTTTTTACACAGTGTTATTTACTCGGCTGAGTAGAGCGTGCTCCAGCTTCTGAAGCTGTGGGTCGCTGTTTCATGCTGAGCCAAGGACAGGAGATCGCCTGGCTTACCGGCCAGCGGGCTGGAGCCAGCTGGGGGCTTGCAAATGGCCCCCGTTTCCTTGGCTGCATCCCAACAGTGGGCTCCTAAACGTATCTCAGAGGGACAAGGGTGGTTTGCAGGGACATACCTGGGGAAAAGGGGCCGTTCCACATCCCACCCCTGTGGCTGAAGGAACCATTTCGATGGTCATTGAACTGAAGGTCAGGAGTGAGCTGTCCATCGTCGGGTGGACAGTCGTGACAGTCCAATCCGCCCCCTGGCCCGTCGTACGGATTGCTGTGGTGCTCAAACGGCGGGTGGGCAGGAAGGAGCCAGCCATGCTGGGCCGAGGGATCCTGGGGATTGTATTCGAATCCAGCCACAGGTCTGTTGCCATAGGGAGCGCCATAGCTGTCAGGGGCTTCTCTGTCCACACGGAGCTGCCTGATAGCAGCGTCACCAGCTGAGAAGAAGTCACGGAACAACGGGGGTGTGGAGGGCAGCTGAGGGGAAGCTGGCTGATGTGTTGCAGTCCCGTTCCAACCAATCCCTGCAAAGCGAGAGGCCATTATTCTGGGGAGATGGGGAGGGGGAAATCGCAGCTGTCGTTCTTCGCAAGAAGCTCAGCACCAACAGCAGGCTCTATGGGGTGGGGGCAGCCCCTCTCTTTTTGCCCTCCTTCTCTCTTAATCTCAAGGTCATGGGTTCTAAGCCCCACCTTGGGCAAAGGACTCCTGCATTGCACGGGGTTGGTCTAGATGACCCAGGTGTCCCCTTCCAATGCTACAATTCTAGGATTCTAGAGCCATTAACCCAAGGGGCACAAAGGACGACTTCCTGGTCACCCACTCACACACAACCCCCCGAAAGCAACTCTCATGAGTCCCTGGTCCCAAAATTTTTTACACATCACTTCGGAAGACAGGCGAAATAATGCCAGTGTACCGGAAGAAGCAAAGATCACCAGTGTTGAAGCAATGATTCTTCAACATCAACTTCATTGGACTGGTCATGTTGTGCGGATGCCTGATGATCGTCTTCCAAAGTAACCACTCTATTCCGAACTTAAAAATGGAAAGTGTAATGCTGGTGGTCAACGAAAGAGGTTTAAAGACTGTCTCAAGGCAAACCTAAAAAAATGTAGTATAAACACCGACAATTGGGAAACACTGGCCTGCGAGCGCTCCAGTTGGAGAACAGCCTTTACCAAAGGGGTCATGGACTTTGAAGACACTCAAACTCAGGACGCAAGGGAGAAACGTGCTAAGAGGAAGGCATGCTTGGCAAATCCGCACCATGATCAACTCCTGCCCGGAAACCAATGCCCCCACTGTGGAAGGACGTGTGAACCCAGAACTGGCCTCCACAATCACTTACGGACTCACTTTTTAAAAATCTTACTTTTTACAGTCTTACACAGCTACGAGCGATTGCGAAAGAAGAAGCAGCAGCAAGTGAAGCCCCAAATCCTCCTTCTCAAAAACTCTTTTACAGCTATAGTCTTCCGGACCTTCTGAAATCTCTGCCTTCCATCCAGCTCTTCACCTGTTCTTGAGCCACACGCTCACCTGTGCCGGACTTCCTCTTCTCAAGCTCGACTCCCCAGGAATCAGCAATGTAGGTCAGCAGGTATCTGGTAATAAACCGGTGCGCCAAGAAGTTCCAGTGTACCCCGTCTTCAATGCGGAGATGGTCCACAAAGCGGAAGAAGAAATGAAGATCCAGGACGTCGAACCCGTAGCTGCGGGCGAGGATGGCGCCATAGAAGTTGGCTTCAATCACGTCCACAGGAGTCGCTTTTTCTACATCCTGCATTTATTTATTTATTTATTTTATTTCATAGCATGCATACAATGCTTGATTGCGTAAAAAAAAAAAAACAAGTCCCAAACCGTCTACAAAAAAGATAAAATAAAATTCATCAATAGGAAAAATTAACCACAATAATGCAACGCTTTCAAAAAGTTAAAGATGCGAAAGACTAAAAAAAAAAAAAGGTTAAAATTCACATCAATTTTCTAAGCATCTGGGTAAGCAATAGGTGCCTGCCTGTTGATATCAGGCAGGTGGCCGAAAAGGATATGGATTCTTTCCATACCCTCCAACATTTCCCCGATGAAAATAGGGACATCCCATAATGATAATTTTACTATTTATACCCTGCCCATCTGACTGGGTTGCCCCAGCCACTCTGGGCGGCTTCCAACATATATAAAAACATAATAAAACATTAAACATTTTTTAAAAAAAATTCCCTATACAGGATTCCCTTCAGACAGCTTGGGGATCGGATAACTCCGTCCCCTCCAACATTTCTCCAATGAAAATAAGGACACCCAAGCGGGCCATTCTGGGATCAAATCAGAAACCGGGAAGGCTTCTGTAAATCAGGGACATCCCTGGAAAATAGGGAAATGAGCTCCCATTCTTCGGTCCCTGCTCCTGCCAACCTAGCAGTTCGAAAGCACGTCAAAGTACAAGTAGATAAATAGGTACTGCTCTGGCGGGAAGGTAAACGGCGTTTCCGTGCGCTGCTCTGGTTTGCCAAAAGCGGCTTAGTCCTGCTGGCCACATGACCCAGAAGCTGTACGCCGGCTCCCTCGACCAATAAAGCGAGATGAGCGCCGCAACCCCAGAGTTGGCCACGACTGGACCTAATAGTCAGGGGCCCCTTTACCTTTACTGTATTTATATTCGGTGTTAGCCGCTCTGAGCCCGGTCTTGGCTCGGGAGGGTGGGGTATAACAAAATTTTATTATTATTACAGTGGTACCTCGGGTTAAGTACTTAATTTGTTCCGGAGGTCCGTTCTTATCCTGAAACTGTTCTTAAACTGAAGCACCACTTTAGCTAATGGGGCCTCCTGCTGCCGCCGTGCCACCAGAGCACAATTTCTGTTCTCATCCTGAAGCAAAGTTGTTAACCCGAGGTACTATTTCTGGGTTAGCGGAGTGTATAACCTGAAGCATATGTAACCTGAGGTACCACTGTATTACTATTACTATTATTCTTTTAAGGTAAAGGTAAAGGGACCCCTGACCATTAGGTCTAGTCGTGGCCGGATTGGGTTGCGGCGCTCATCTCGCTTTATTGGCCGAGGGAGCCGGCGTACAGCTTCCGGGTCTTGTGGCCAGCATGACTAAGCCGCTTCTGGCGAACCAGAGCATCGCACGGAAACGCCGTTTACCTTCCCACCGGAGCGGTACCTATTTATCTACTTGCACTTTGATGTGCTTTTGAACTGCTAGGTTGGCAGGAGCAGGGACCGAGCAACGGGAGCTCACCCCGTTATCGCGGGGATTCAAACCGCCGACCTTCTGATCAGCAAGCCCTAGGCTCTGTGGTTTAACCCAGGATCAAAAGGGGAACACCAGGAAATAATCTAAACTAAGAGATTCAAACAAATCTGCAAACTAGCTTCCAACTATAGTGAGGAGAATCTGGTCTGCTGCATCCCTTACTTACTTGCGCGAGTGAAAGGAGGATAATACCTATTCGACATATCCTTTCCTACAATCTTTAACATTCCCACATGTTGTGGGGGGGAGCTAGGGGGCTGGTTGACCCCCCCACCCTGGGTGGGAGCTGGCCCCCCACTCACCTCAGCTGAGCAGTAGTCTCGCTCCATCTCTTTGTAGAGGGCTCCTGAAGGCTCTTTCCGTATAGGGAGAGCCGTGTTCCAGATGGCAAGGCAGTTCTGAGGAAGGACCTGATCCAGCCTCTCAAAGAGCTTTTCCAGGTTAAGCCTGTACTGCCTGATGGCTTTCGGCAGCCGAAGCTCCCTGGAGACCTTCTCTTGGTACCTGCATGGAAGAAGGGAGACCATCAGGATCTTGGTGGGAAGACACAAAAGGATAACAGCATTGGTCTTGGCCAAGAAAGCTAAAGGGTGCTGGGATGGATTTGATTTACCGTATTTTTCGCTTATAGGACGCACTTTCCCCCCTCCAAAATGAAGGGAAAATGTGTGTGCGTCCTATGGAGCGAATGCATGCTCCTTGGCTTCAGCGATAGCAATGCGAAGCCTCCGAAGCGCAGGAGGGCTCCCTCCGTGCTCCGGAGGCTTCGCGTTGCTTTCGCTGAAGCCAGGAGAGTCTGGTCTTTGAGGCTGGCAGTGGGGGAAAGCAGCGCTTCCCCCCACAAGCTCGGGGGGCAGCGGGAAGGCGGAGCGCCACATTTGCGCTGTTCCCTGACCTCGTTTTGAGGCTTTTCCCCGAGGAGGGAGAAGGGACTGACTGGCCGTGTCAGTCCCTTCTCCCTCCTGGTCGAAAAGCCCGCAGGAGCCGCGTGACGCATCTCTGCATGACTAACTGCTCCAGCGGTTATTTTTTAAGGAGAGGGAAGCACAGTTTTTTCTGCTAAGTCCCTGCATAAAGCAGCAACAAAAGCATCCCAAATCTCAGCTGATGCAGAGACATATGAGGTTTCTGGTCAGGGATCAGCAACGAAGGGCTGGATAACACAAGGCAGAGGCTGCAGGATCACAACAAGGCTGGTCCATCTAGACAGCAAGAGCCCAGCACCCAGTTTCCAAGCGTAGGTCAGCCAGATATCTCAGAGAAGCCCACACACGGAAGCAGAGGACCCTGGTGCCACAGGTAAGCCCCCCTTACCTGTTGAGGTCCCAGAGGCAGGAATTGAAGATGACCACGTCCGGTTTCGGCTCTCTTTGGAGGTCGTCCAAGATGTCTTCCATGTAGTCCGAATAAACACGGGGAATGAAGTAGCATCGCACCAGGTGGTGATCCGAGCGGAACTCGCGCACCTCCTGGTATCTGTTCCCGCAGCCTACCCCACTATATTTCACCAGTTTATCGTTCTCAAAAGACGGCTCTCCCTGCAAGTAGAGATCAGGATCATACACAAGGACTCTTTTGCAAGCCCCTTGCGGCCAACCAACGCATTAATACGGGACCGCCTCTCCTGGTATGCCCCGCGGAGGACCTTAAGGTCTACAAAAAACAACATTTTGGAGGTCCCAGGTCACAAGGTGGTTAGATTGGTCTCAGTTAGGGCCAGGGCCTTTTCAGTACTGGCCCCGACTTGGTGGAACGCTCTGTCACAAGAGACCAGGGCCCTGCAGGACTTGACATCTTTCCGCAGAGCCTGCAAGACAGAGCTGTTCCGCCTGGCCTTTGGTTTGGACTCAGTCTGACCCTTATGTTTCCCTCCCCTTACGGTCTTGATCTATCAGCTACTTTTAAAATGAGGCTGCATTTTAAATTGCATTTTAACCTGTATTTTAAATTGGGTCCCCCCCCATTATGTTTTTACTGTGATTTTATTGGTGTTAGCCACCCTGAGCCCGGCTCTGGGCAGGGAGGGCGGGGTATAAATAAAATTTACTATTTACGTTACTACTACTCCTAGAAGTCTCAGTCCAGAGAACCACAGAATGAGGGGGTTCTCGGTTGGTCAACAGCCACCTAACCCCCCTGTTTCCATCCTACTGCCAAACAGAACTGTCCAACAAGTCGGACTCCCCCCTCTAAGTTTAGACAGCGACTGCTGTACCTGAATAAAAGGAGTTGCCCAGAAGGAGAGGTTATTGATCCGGGAATACGGATCCAGTTCTGCCCTGAACTGGGACAGCCAAGCACAAGTTTGCACAATTATTGCTTGTGCAGCAGCTGTGTCCGTGAGACATTTAGGTTTGACCGTTGTGCTCCCTTCCAACTCTAAAATTCTAGGATTCTATGAAAATACTTTAAAGAAAAAACCACCTTTTTCTTCAGCTGATCAACAGTGAGATGCTTGTCGGCCTGCAGGATGACGATCAGGTCTTTGTATATCGATCGGTAAACTAGAATGGGAAGAAAACATGTCTTGTCGACTAAGGCTGCATACAAACATTTTATTCTAGAATCTATGGAGACCAAATACGAGGGGGTTTTTATGTAGTCCGCACACAATCTAGAGCAGGGGTCAGCAAACTTTTTCAGCAGGGGGCCAGTCAACTGTCCCTCAGACCTTGTGGGGGGGCGGACTATACTTTGAAAAAAAATAATGAATGAATTCCTATGCCCCACAAATAACCCAGAGATGCATTTTAAATAAAAGCACACATTCTACCCATGTAAAAACACCAGGCAGGCCCCACAAATAACCCAGAGATGCATTTTAAATAAAAGGACACATTCTACTCATGGGAAAACACACTGATTCCTGGACCATCTGTGGGCCAGATTTAGAAGGCAATTGGGCTGGATCTGGCACCCAGGCCTTAGTTTGCCTACCCATGATCTAGATCTATTGCATATTTCCCCCTCCAAGAAGCACTTCTGGAGAAACTGGGCTCGTTCCAAAAACGAAACGCCCTTCTGGTGTGATTCTGCATTACCCTGCATAATCCATTTGAAAACAGATTGACAAAGATATAGATTGCAAAGGAAACTTCAACTGTGTTTCTGCGTGTAGCCAAAGCGGCATGGACTACCGACAAATGAAGAATGGCTGATGAAGATCATGGAATATGCAGAATATGTTAAAACTGGCAGCTCTGATAAGAGACACAAATCTAGAATCTTTCAAGGAGGACTGGAAACTCTCTCTGGTCTACTAAAAAAATAATTTTTCAAATGCGAAATTTAAGGGGGGGAATAGAATATATTAAGAAACCTATTTAAGAGGGTGAAATGGGACATGATGGAATTTTAATAAGCAATTGTATGCAACTGTGTTTATAAACACTGAGGATGGATGAGTCAGCATGAGTCAGCGGCCTGCACCAGGTTGTATATATAGAGTGAGAAATGTTAGTTTTTGTTTGGGTTGGTTGGTTGGTTAGTGAAATCTGGTAGTGTGGATGTGTACAGTTGGTCAGTCGTTTTTGAAGAGTCTTTTAAGAATAAAAGCAGAAAGTACTCTGCAAGGATACTCTTCTCGTGGACTCTTTTATGCAGACAAGCGTCCGAGGACCAGGCTGTGGTGACAAAGGGAGGTCAGAACCTTTTTTTATTATTATTACAAACACTGACAATGCGCAGAAGCGGTGAATTGCGACCCGCACGCGCAGATGTAGGTTGCGTTCTGCTCAGGCTGCGTACGGGGCTCCGGAATGGATCCCGTTCGCAACCAGGAGTACCACTGTAAAAGAAAAAGAAATGGGGGGTGGACTGTAATCACCACTTCCTTTCTCGTCGACGTGTGGCACCATGCAGGCAAGGAACGGTTTGGATAACCTAATGAGCTTTTAAAGTGTCTCAAAGAGGCACAACCACTCTCCTGGAAAGCAGGATCTAGAGTCAACCCAGATTGAAAGGAACATATTGAGCACAAACTGCTCTGGAGTGGGGAGCAAACAGATTTCTGCACCGCAAAGGGTTTGGGGCAGTGGTTCTCAAAAGGTGCAGTGCATCACACCGGTCTGGCGGGAGAGCACAGCAAGTGTTGTGGGAAGATTCAACGGCAAACAAAGAAACATTTAAACATTTCAGTACAGTATGGTATCAAAATAAAAACTTTCTGGGGGTGATATGCAACCAGAAACAATATCCCCGCAAGGGCACTGGCTATTCTTCTACAGTTCTCCACAACATATTGTTGCAAATCCCTATTTTCAACCATGATGAAAGATCAGAAAAGAGAAAGGCTTCTTTGTGTCGAGGGGAGTTTGATGGTCTCAAATTAGACCAAGATTACCCAGGGCTGGGACGCGGGTGGAGCTGTGGGTTAAACCACAGAGCCTAGGGCTTGCCGATCAGAAGGTCGGTGGTTCAAATCCCCGCAACGGGGTGAGCTCCCGTTGTTCGGTTCCAGCTCCTGCCAACCTAACAGTTTGAAAGCATGTCAAAGTGCAAGTAGATAAATAGGTACCACTCCGGCAGGAAGGTAAACGGCGCTTCCGTGTGCTGCTCTGGTTTGCCAGAAGCAGCTTAGTCCTGCTGGCCACATGACCCGGAAGCTGTATGCCGGCTCCCTTGGCCAATAAAGCGAGATGAGCGCTGCAACCCCAGAGTCAGCCACAACTGGACCTAATGGTCAGGGGTCCCTTTACCTTTACCCAGGACTATCTAGCCCAGGGCTAGGCAATCTAAGGCCCATGGGCTGGATGCGGCCCAATCGCCTTCTCAATCCGGCCCGCAGATGGTCCGGGAATCAGCGTGTTTTTACATAAGTAGAATGTGTCCTTTTATTTAAAATGCATCTCTGGGTTATTTGTGGGGCACAAGAATTCATTCATTTTAATATACAGTGGTACCTCGGGTTACATACGCTTCAGGTTACATATGCTTCAGGTTACAGACTGCTAACCCAGAAATAGTGCTTCAGGTTAAGAACTTTGCTTCAGGTTGAGAACAGAAATCGCGCAGCAGCAGCGGCGCAGTGGCAGCAGGAGGCCCCATTAGCTAAAGTGGTGCTTCAGGTTAAGAACAGTTTCAGGTTAATAACGGACCTCCAGAACGGATTAAGTACTTAACCCGAGGTACCACTGTATATTTTTCTTTCAAAATATAGTCTGGCCCACCACATGGTCCAAGGGACAGTGGAGGGTCCATGGATGAAAAAGGTTGCTGAGCACTGATCCAGCCCAAGCCCCAGCAATGCAGAAATATGCAGCTGTCCCACACAGGGATCAAACCTGCAACCATGGCGTTATCGGCACCACGCTCTAACCAGCTGAGCTATCCAGGGAGAAGCACATTTACAATTTTATTTTGGGAATGATTTGTGATCTCACATAGCTGCATTGTTTGGATAAATAGATGCCGAACAAAGGAAAGATGAGAGGGGGTTGTTTTGGCATCGTTTGGTACAGATGCCCTGTAGCACGTGAGTGAGTGTTGCACTTCCACGATAAATGCCCACTACGGAGGCAACCGCAATAGGTTTTTCTTGCAAGGACAGACCCACTCTTGACTCCAAATCACGTCTGCACCAGTCCAAGAGGATCCCTTGGGATCATTCATCGGTGCAAAGGGGTGATGCTAAGTTGAAGGAGGCACAATCACCCACATCTCCCAAAGATGTGATGGGGATGAATGTCCTGTGTGGGTGTCTGGAGGCGGTTGGAGGATGGATGGCAGCTAATGGATTGAGGTTGAATCCTGACAAGACAGAAGTACTGTTTTGGGGGGAAGAAGAAGAGTTTGGATTTGATATCCCGCTTTACCTTTACCTTTAAGGAGTCTCAAAGCGGCTAACATTCTCCTTTCCCTTCCTCCCCCACAACAAAGAGGTGAGTGGGGCTGAGAGACTTCAAGAAGTGTGACTAGCCCAAGGTCACCCAGCAGCTGCATGTGGAGAAGGGATGTGAACCCGGTTCACCAGATTACGAGTCTACTGCTCTTAACCACTACACCACACTGGCTCCCTCACCAGATTATGAGACAGGGGGACAGCAGGTGTGGGGGACTCCCTAATCCTGAATGGGGTAATTGAGCCCCTGAAGGACCAGGTGCACAGCCTGGGGGTCATTTTGGACTCACAGCTGTCCATGGAGGCGCAGGTCAATTCTGTGTCCAGGGCAGCTGTCTCCCAGCTCCATCTGGTATGCAGGCTGAGACCCTCCCTGCCCGCAGAGTGTCTCAACAGAGTGGTGTATGCTCTAGTTATCTCCCGCTTGGATTACTGCGATGTGCTCTACGTGGGGCTACCTTTGAAGGTGACCCAGAAACTACAACTAATCCAGAATGCGACAGGTAGAATGCTGACTGGGAGTGGTCTTGAAAGACCTACATTGGCTCCCAGTACGTTTCTGAGCACAATTCAAAGTGTTGGTGCTGTCTTTAAAGTCCTAAACGGCCTCGGCCCTGTAAACCTGAAGGAGCGTCTCCACCCCACCCACCCCCCATCGTTCTGCCTGGACACTGAGGTCCAGCTCCGAGGGCCTTCTGGCAGTTCCCTCCCTGCGAGAAGCAAAGTTACAGGGAACCCGTCAGAGGGCCTTCTCGGTAGTGGTGCCCACCTGTGGAACGCCCTCCTGTCAGATTCAAGGAGATAAACAACTATCTGACTTTTAGAAGACATCTGAAGGCAGCCCTGTTTAGGGAAGCTTTTAATGACTGATGTTTTAATGTACTGGTGGTGCAGTGGTTAAGAGCGGTAGACTAGTAATCTGGTGAACCGGGTTCGCTTCCCCGCTCCTCCACATGCAGCTGCTGGGTGACCTTGGGCTTGTCACACTTCTTTGAAGTCTCTCAGTCCCACTCACCTCACAGAGTGTTTATTGTGGGAGAGGAAGGGAAAGGAGAATGTTAGCCGCTTTGAGACTCCTTCGGGTAGTGATAAAGCGGGATATCGAATCCAAACTCCTCCTCCTCTTCTTCTTCTTCTTCTTCTTCTTCTTCTTCTTCTTCTTCTTCTTCTATTCTTTTGTCGGAAGCTGCCCAGAGTGGCTGGGGAAACCCAGCCAGATGAGCAGGGTATAACATCATCATCATCATCATTATTATTATTATTATTATTATTATTATTATTAATTTATTTTAAAGATCTCTGTTGTTGGGAAGCATTTGCTGGTAGTAATGCAGAGTGGCAAATGATGGGTTGCATATCCTCAACAACAAAAAAGCTTTAAGGTTTTAGCAAGCAGATGGATTGAGCACGATAAGCAGTTAAGAAGCACATCATCATTCAGCCACACGCTAAGCATCAAGATCTGCAAACCACAGAGTTTCCGCAGATCATGTTTCCAATTTATCAAGATAGAAATATACAGAGAGGCAGTTTGAAAGAGGAAGTGACGCTGCGCTCGAGAGATGGAGAGGCAGAGAGAGGAGGGAGGGACGCGCCGAAGGACAAGGGCAGAGAATTGTTTTCATACTCCCGGCAAGAGAAAAGGCACCCAACCTGTGTTTCGAAGGCCAGGAATTGTTGCAGCTGAGGAACAAACCACATCCTAATTGCCACATCGAGAAGATACTCACTGGAATCGCCCATGATCACAACAAACTTGTTGTGGAGCAGCTGCTGCGCTTCTTTTGAGGAGAAACTGTGGGTTTCTACCAAGGGGTGACTTGTCATGGTTGCGTTCGCGGCGGAACACCTCAACCAGGCCGGCGTTTTCTCCTGCAAAAAGGAAACAAATAAGGACAGGGAAGACAAACAAGGAACAAAAAGAAAACCTCCCCTGCCTTTCGGAAGGCATAAAACTATTAGCCCTGCAGCAAAATGTCTCGGCTTGTGAAATGTCTCAGCTTTCCGTCACCTATCTGCCACAGAAAAGACCATATTAAAGGGTTTATTACCCCTTTGGGGGTCTCCCCTTCAGGGCAACAACAACTGGGACGGGCTCACCACTGGGCAGCCCACTTTCTCCAGCATCCCTGACTTTTCTCCCCACCCAGTAAAAGGTGCATACACTGGAGCACGTAGATAGACTCTGCAGTGTCTCTCCCACTTGGGTCCCCAGCCGTTGTCAAGAGTACAGCTCCCACCACACCAATGGCTGTTTGCTGAGAAACTATCTCCTGATTGCCAGGAGGCCAGCACAGCTGAACTTTGTTTAGGCTCAGAGACCTTGAGATCAAAAGACTTCCTCTCCCTTCTCACGCTGCTCTGACACGTACCAGGCTCTTGAGTTGTAAATTACTTTGATAGCCTCCTGAACCTTTTCACACCCAATGCACCCTCAAGATGTGCCAGGATCCGCAGATCAGATAACATCTCATCCTGCCTAGAGTCAGGGTGTAATTGACTCACACTTCTAAAGACGGGGAGTTTTACAGTTAAAGAGACCAGATACCCATTTCCCAGAAGTCCGCCGTTTCAACTCTCCCGCAATGCCTCACTCCTGCGCGAACCAACGTTTGACATACCAAAATTTCCCAACTTCGCTACACCAGTGGTCAGGGAAGATGGGAGTTGTAGTCCAACAAAAGCTGGGGAAACCAGAGATTAAGAAACACTGGTCTGGTGAGTCTGCACAAAGCATTAAACAGCCTTCCACAGAGCAGGCGTTCTGTCTTGATAACCCAGCTGATAACCTCTGCTGTTGCTGCCAAAATGTTCCTTCTGGCCCTGCACACTTCTGCACAGTGGCAGCTCACTAACACTGCCCACCCCCAACCAAATTTGTGGAAGGTTTGAGCAAAGCATTTAGCACCGAAGCTGCAAATCAGCAGGAAGTCAGCTGTTTTGAGCTCACTTCCCTTTCTCTATAGAGCAGCTGGTGGCACCTCTGTCTTGGCTGCTGAGATGTTATCCCCAAACCCAGGTCTCACATCTCGGTTTGTCTGGGGGAGATAAACCACAACCGAAGGTTCAGCTGTAATTCTCAAGTAGGGCTCTGCAATATCAGACTTTCAACACTGTGATATGCCACCAACTAAACATTGAGATATACTGATATACCACAACGTCTGAGCTGGTGGAGCTGGTTTGGAACTTTGTGACATATCACCAGCTAAACCACTATCATTCTGCCCAGACACTGAGGTCCAGCGCCAAGAACCTTCTGGCAGTTCCCTCCCTGCGAGATGTGAGGTTATAGTGAACCAGGCAGAGGGCCTTCTCAGTAGTGGTGCCCGCCCTGTGGAATGCCCTCCCAGCAAATGTCAAGGCAATAAGCAACTATTTTACTTTTAAAAGACATCTGAACACCTGTTTAGGGAAGTTTTAAATGTTTGATGCTGTGTTGTTTTTAATATTTGGTTGGAAGCCGCCCAGAGTGGCTGGGGAAACCCAGCCAGATGGGCAGGAGATTTATATATATAAAATCTCCTGCCCATCTGGCTGGGTTTCCCCAGCCACTCTGGGCGGCTTCCAACCAAAAATATATATATATATATATATATATATATATATATATATATATATATATACACACACACACACACACACACACATATATATACATATACATATATATATATATATATATATATATATATATATATATATATATATATAATTATTTTGCAAAGCAAGGCCACCACAGGAAAAAGGAATCCCCTGCTGTCACTGTGATATCAGGTGATTTGATGAGTGGCAAATCAGCAACATGGAGTAGTAGACCTATTGAAATCAACTTAGCAACATTTATTCATTTCATTGGGTCTACTCAGAGTGAAATTTTATTGATTACCACCCAAAGTGCCCCTGCCTTCAATGGGTTAGACTCCTTGCAAGGCACACACAGTATGGCAGTCATCATCACCATCATCATATTTATTCATACTCCGCCAATCTGTTTTTTAAAAAAATATTATTTATTAAGGTTTTAAGTTTACAAAAAAGCAAAAGAAAAAACACCAAATTAAACAATAGCAAAACAACACATCACAATAAAAAAACCAGAAAAATAGAAACAATTTTTTAAAAAAAACAAATCGAACCTTCCCATAACTTATCTTTCATTTGCTTGTTTCCCTGACCTCCTCACACCTCCCTTTTTTGTATTCTAAGTCAATTATCCATTTCAGCAAATCCTTTCCCTCTCTTCAAAATTTTTATCCTGAAAATTTATCTTGATCTTAATGTAAGTTTACTTTCCCTCTTTTCACCAATCATACTCCGCCAATCTGGCTGGGTTGCCCCAGCCACTCTGGGTGGCTTCCAACACATAAAAACATAATGGCTCTCGGGGTCCCTTCTGATTCTATGAGTCTAGAGTTGTTGCCGTGGAAGATTTTGTGGGAAAGACTCCCACAAAACGACGGTTAAATGACTCCCAAAATCCCCATCACAGCCTCTACCGAAGGCCAGGACAATGACCTTTGGCACAGGCACCTTACATACAGAACAGCAGAGGCTCAGAAAAGCAGTCTATAAAATTGTAGCAATAAGCGGATCCCATGTCTCATACTGTTTCCTCTTCCTATCCAGTACAGAATAAAACAATTGCCAAAATTCACCGGTTTGACTGATTTCCTTGGTTCCAAGGGCTAATGACTCCTCTGGAAGATGGGAATCCATAATCCCTTAAGCAAAAGGTCACATACTCCTTCCCCCTTGTTGCAGGAATTTATGTATAGGTGGGGGGGGGTTGCCCCTCCAGCAGATATCATGCACATGCAGCCCACTACCAAAATCAGCACCATCACTTTTGTGACTCTTGTGATTTGTCCCCACAAAACACTTCATCACAGTTTTTTCCTATCTATTCAAAGGGCCTCTACTGCAGAATACAAAATGTAACAATTCACTGATAATTGTATTTCTGTATTGGCTCACAGGGAAAACTTCAGAAATTCATATAGACATGTGAGCTCAGCTCCTCAGCAGCCCCTCTGCCTGAGTGATAATCCCTGGCCTCCTGATACCTGAGTGCCAGACAGGTAGCCATTCCAGAAATAACAAACCCAGATGAAGACAAAAGGGTGTGATGAACTTGGCTGGGAAACAGGGGAAATGTAAATATCTCTTTTGTTACACTTGATGGGTGTTTGGTGGAGGGCAAGGAGAACCATGGGGCAGGGTCCAGGATGCTCAGATTACTGCCACCACACCTCCCCTTTCATGATGTAACCATGATGTAGTTTGGGGGGTGTGTAACATGGGGATTATCAGCTAATAAAAGTTTGGGGGCTCTTTTGTTCGGGGCTTCCATCGTTCCACCTTGTGGCAGGTGGGAGTCCTGTCGCGACAGTCCTCAATAAAGACCAAGCCTACTGGCTGCTGTTTTGCTCTGGTATTCCTGACTGCTGTCCAAGGGAGCCCTCAGATTTCTCTGCTAACACCCTCCATAAGGTGTGAACTTAGCCACACAATGGGAGGCAGGAGGCCATCAAGGGCAGCACATACCCCAGGCAGAAACCCATCAGGAAGGTGGACTGAATCCTGATACTTCCAAAGGAGAAGCACAGGAAAGCCTTAAAGCTAGGGGGATGTGTAAATATCTTTATTGTTCCTTAGGGAAGAGGAACTGGGGTTATTGACAGGGGTGGGTGACGGGCTCGTGTTTCTACATGCCAAACACTCCTACTTTTTGACATATTTGTGATCAATGATGCTGTTGAAAAACGTATTATGGGAAATGGGGAGAGGTCTTAAAAGTGCTTGGGGTTCCTACTCTTTGTGTGTTTGAACCTTGTTGCAACAAAGATCAGGTCTACTGACCACTGCTTGCTTCTTCAACTTGCCTGCGGAATCCTACTTTTGCTGACCAGAGAGACCCGTGGGGAGTGGCACACCGACGAAGTAAATCCACACCCCAGGACTTTTCCTTATCAGAGCCCACTGGAAATGCAGGAAGAGTTAGTAGCATAGCTGTCAACTGTCCCTTATTTGGTGGGAAACTCCCTTATCCCAGCGCCGTGTCCCGCTGCTGTCCCGGATTGATGATGTCCCTTAAATTTCCCGGGTTTCATGCTCGCCCAGCCCGGTAGGGAAGCAGCGTCTCGGGGTCCTCCGCCTCGAGAGACAGAGCACGCACAAGCTGCCGTGTCTCCGTCTCTCCCTTTCCCCCCTCAGGGGCGCGTCGTGAGGAGACGGGTGGTGGCGGGCGGGCAGGCAGCCCCTCTCTTGCGAGACTTCTGCGGCGGCTGAGGAGGCGGCCTGAAGGAGGAGGAAGAGGAGGGGATGGGGAGGGATGCAGAAGGGCGGCGCTTCAGTGGCCGCGCCGCAACCACCTCATGCCAGGCTTGCAGGCACCGTTGGGCGAGAGTCTCTCTCCCTCCATCTTGGGCAGGGAAGAGCCGATGGAACTCATAAGCCAAGCAAAATCCCTTATTTTGGCTGCTGATCCCTTATTTTTGAGGCTGCTGGTCCCTTATTTTCAAATCTGTAAGTTGACAGCTATGGTTACTAGTATTGCACAGGAGCGTACAGAGCAGGAGGGCGTGTGCATCAGCTGAAAGGCCCCAGAATGTAAATGACAAACCCTGTATCACCTCTATGCAAAGTTTGAATATATACAAATATAGACAGACACACACACATTTTTTGCAGTCACCAGCTGCTAACAGTAGCATTTTCAGTATTGCTAATCTTTCCAACTCTACAGCTCGATGAACTCTCGACTGAACTGAATCAAAGCTGGCTGATCTATTTCGAGTCCAGTAATTTCATATAACTTTCAGGTCGCCAGCAGGGTAGGGAGGGAGACTAAATGCTCAAGTTATTGAAAGTTAACCACACAAAGGAATCTGATTACCTGAATTGCTTCCCCCAGGCCACAGGCCATAACAAATCGTACATTGATTCAGATGTCAAAATACTTAAGGTCCAAATACATATACAAATGCCCCTTTGCACTAAAAGGTACAAACGATAAAAAGTGCTCTCTGCTTACAATTCAACTGTGCTTAGATTATGTTGAGTTAATATTATTTCATAGATTAGGAATGCTGTAGTACTTTGTGACCCTTACATTATAATGTTGCAATTGTGCTGATTAGCTTATTGTTTTAGAAGAAGAGTGGGCTGAGAGACTTCAGAGAAGTGTGACTGGCCCAAGGTCACCCAGCAGCTGCATGTGGAGGAGCGGGGACGCGAACCCGGTTCAACAGATTACGAGACTACCGCTCTTAACCGCTCTACACCACACTGGCTCTCTTTAGTTGTTTTGTCACAGAATTCAGTTGTTTTAACTGATTATTTGTTAATTGTTCTATATGCTTTAGGTCATCAATGTGATGTTCTAGAATTTTATTGAAATTTATTATTTATAAACCATTTTGCGACTTTGGGGGATGAAATGCCACATATTGTTGTCATCCATCTGTCTTGAGAGATGTTTGAGACAGACAGGTGCCAACAAGAAGAAGGATGAGCTGCTTTTCATTCACAAAATAGCAGCATAGATATATAAATCATATCATTATCTGTTTCTTTGTTCTTTTAACTGGGCATGTCAGGGATTGAACCAGGGGTTTGGACATGCAGTGGGTATCTTCCACCCTGAGCAATAATAATAATAATAATAATAATAATAATAATAATAATAACAACAACAACAACAACAACAACAATTTATTTATACCCAGCCACTCTGGGCGGCTTCCAACAAAACACTTAAATACAATAACCTATTAAACATTAAAAGCTTCCCTAAACAGGGCTGCCTTCAGATGTCTTTTAAAGTTTGGTAGTTTTCTCTTTGACATCTGGTGGGAGGGCGTTCCCCAGGGCGGGTGCCACTACCGAGAAGGCCCTCTGCCTGGTTCCCTGTAACTTGGCTTCTCGCAGTGAGGGAACCGCCAGAAGGCCCTCGGAGCTGGACCTCAGTGTCTGGGCAGAACGATGGGGGTGGAGATGCTCCTTCAGGTATACTGGGCCGAGGCCGTTTTGGGCTTTAAAGGTCAGCACCAACACTTTGAATTGTGCTTGGAAACGTACTGGGAGCCAATGTAGGTCTTTTCAAGACCAGTGTTATGTGGTCTCGGCAGCCGCTCCCAGTCACCAGTCTAGCTGCCACATTCTGGATTAGTTGTAGTTTCCAGGTCACCTTCAAAGGAAGCCCCACATA